CCGTCTACCACTGAGGATATTTCACATCAGCACTGTGGTCCGTGAGAGCCTGGTGCAGAATTCGTATAGGTTAACTGCATTTAGCATGACTTGCCGTGATATTTTTCGCGGCCAACTCATAGTCAAAATTTACTACAATTAAGTAAATTTCTCCGGTACATATATATCTCTTTCAATAGTCAGTAAGACACTTATTTCTACAGTATCGATGTTAAAACTGCGTATAGTTTTAATACACTAGGGAACCGATTATCCGGAACGATCGGGACCATCGCTATTCCGGATAACTGATTTTTCCGGTTTTCAGAATCGCTACAAAAAGCCGTTTTTTTTATTGTTAAACCCAACTAAAAAAAATAATATTTGGAAATAATTTTAAAAAGAAGAAGAAACGATGAAGTAATACACTAATGATTATTTTCAAAATGATGGTAAGGTAAACATCTTTCAAAAAAGAACGAAAAATCTTAAAATCTTATGAGGAAAAAAATTTTTTTTTTTAAAAAATGGCGGGAAAATTTATTGAAATTCGTTCCGGTTTTCTGATTTCCGGATAACGGGTTCCGTACTGCACTATTAATTAATATTTGGTGATTGTTCAAATTGCACTGACATAGCGAATAAAAAATAATTAAATATTAAAGTACGTGCAATAAACTTTTCTTGATTAAAAATAGAACTGTAAGAAAGTAAATATCACAAATGATGCAAGCCAATATCACACTAATATTGGATACAAACTTTAAATATTGATATCTCGGTAGCTTTTTAAATTAGAATAAAGTGTTTTTTTTAACCATTTTTGTTATTGTTTTACAAGGGACTATTGTATTAACAGTTTATCTTTGAGGAGCTGTGTAAAAATTTAAAATTAATCTCAAATTTTAACTTATGCTATTAAAATTATTTTTAAATATAATGGAAGTGTTATATAATTTCTCTTAATCTTGTAGAAATATGAAATAATTACAAACAAAAAAAACTGATTTCATAGACATTTACTTTTTTAGTGATTAATATGCTGACAAAAAAAAAAAAGCAAATGTACGATTTTAAAGCACACAAAGATTTTATTCAAATATATTAAGTCTAAACAAGTAAAGAATATTCCAAAATCATGTTTTTAATATGTATTTAGCATCTTTGTTACACATAGAACTGCAAATTTGAGATTGAAAGTTTATTTTTGAGTAAGAAAAATGAACTAGGTCAAAATCTGAATTAGCATCAGGGACAATCCTCACACCACAGAAATTAAATAAATATCATATTTTGGAGTATAGTTTGAGAAGAAAGCCATTGGAAACTCTTTATATTAAACTTCACCATTTAGATATGAAAGTCCTATTTAAAAAAAAAAGTTCTTTAAAATTTTAGTATTGAAAATTAAACAAGGAAAATGTAAAATAAACAAAAAAAATGTATAAAACAATTTACATTATATATGAGTTATTTTCTTTATTATGTATCTTGTTTTTTTCTACTTCAAGGTTTAAGAAACTTTAAATGTTTTTTTTATAAATAACATATGTCAGTCAGGTATATACCTTGAACAGGTTATGTTCATACAAAAATATAAAATCATAAAATATTACTTCAGAAAAAACAGTATTTAATAAAAATTAAAAGGTAATTCCAGGTCCAGCTGTCTAAAAAAATACCACATAACCATCAAGAAATGACTTTCCAGAAAAAAAAAATTACTTTTTGACAGCATTTTTTATTTATGTAAAATACTTACAATGTAATAATAAAAATATAAGTTTTTGCATAGTTAATTACTGCAGCCTAGGGATTTATGCTTCTTTACCCTTATTTAAATTTTTTAAACTACATACTGAATTCCATGAATGTAAGGATTTACCAATAAAGACTATTCCAGAAAGAACAGGGTGCATAGTCAAACCTCTCAACAAAAATCAAGCACCTCTAAAGTATTTTTTGAGTGCTTAAAAAAGCACTAAAAAAATATTTTTATGCACTATATACATTAACAAAATGCAAAATAATGTTCAAACACTTTACATGATCATGATAAAATAACCAGTTTCTGACAAAGAACTCTTTTTCTTGATTATATTAGCCACCATAAAAAGAGAGAGAGATATTTCGGTTAGATTTCAGAGGGTGGAAAATGAAACCTGAAATTAAGAATGCAGCAGAGTTGCACATAAGAGTGCAAGAATCTCACCGAACTAAGCTCAGTAGTCACACCCAAGTATTTCCTCAAACATGTAACATGATTGGCGCTAACATACGTTACGTACCGACGGCACGCCAAAATGGAATGTGGTTGAATGAATCATGCAGACATTGAATAGAGCAATGCGAAAAACACGCTTTTGCATAATACACACCGAAAATCGATATGGTAAAGAAAAAAATTCTCATTTTCGTAAAAGGAAAATTAAGCACCTTTTAAAAACACACCAAGTACCTTAAAGGGCTTTTTAAAAAATGAAAATAAGCACCTTTAAGCACTTTTTAAAAATGCTACAGACACTGAAGAAATGTAGACAACCATTTAAAATGTCATACGTTTGGTGGATGAAGTACAAGCTTTTTACAAGTCAAGCAGATTGAACAAACTAGTAATTTACATTTTTTAATTACCATCTAATATATCTATTAAACATTTTTCATTTTAAACTTAAGTTTTGTTTCAATATCATTGCAAAAATGGAGTTTTCATACCCCACTTTTTATATGTAAGGTAAGGCTAATTTTTTATTTAAGTATGGTCATCATATTTTTTGAAGTATCAAAAATATCATTTAAAAATGTTATTTCACATCCAAAAAATTTTAATATAATATTTAAGCATCATGAAAATGAATTAATTTTATAATCAAAAGTTGTTTTTCAGAACATTTAATTAAATATGCTGGTATAGAATCTGATATTTTAATAACTATATTTAAAACCTTAAAATTTTTTTACTATGCTTTCTGTTATTTTTTTGAAGAAAAAAAAATACACAATTTTGTTTTTTTATCTTAAATAGTTAAACAAATTTTTTTCGAAATTGTAATGAAATTGTTAGAGAGACAATCTCCGCATTAGGCTCTTCACACCATCTTGATCCAAATTTTCCCCCATCATTTCGCAGTCTTGATTTCTGGAGCACGCACAGTCAATTGTTTTAAGAGAAAAAGGCTATATTTTTACGTTATGTGGAGCCAAGTTGCGATTCCCACAATGGCAGAATTTATACATGGTCATTGGCACTCCAGTGACCATAATCTTACACTAACCCCTTTACACTGCCCAGTCACTCCTTTTGAGCTAATGGGAGGGGGGGGGGTCAAACACAGATGAAAACTATATGTAATTGAATTTACACATTTACAGATTGAATCTGCAGCACTATCTACATAAATCCAAATTTATATATGATTTCAATGCAGCAAGAAAGAGGTTCAGTGTTTTCACTACAGCGCGAGAATCTCGCATATTTTTTTCTTTTCTCGCAATAAAAAATGATTACCGCGAGAAATTCGCGCATTCTGTAAATCAATTTCAAAATTTGCCAATTTCTCGCATTTTCGAAAAAGCATCGAATTACGCCATTTAGAATAAAATCCGTTTCACTTTTCTTCCTGGATCTTACATTATTTTCAACATCTGCCCCATTATCTAGCCTCCCTATTTACCAGTATTGTTCAGAAACTTTTCGAACAACAGAACCCCTTTCAGAACACATTTCTCAGCCACCACGTGTTTACCGTAGGTAAGGCTTCTTCATGTAAGACGTTCAAATTTTTTATGCACTTATGTAAGAAGGACAAATACCTTGTAAAGGCAAAATCTTCTATGATGATGCACCAAAAATATTCAATGCTTTAAAAAATAGAAGACGTTAAAATGTATTAGAATTAAAGAAATGATTTTTTTTCAAGAGTTTTTGTGTTTTTTTTAGTTTTTAGAAATCTCACTTAACTTTTTGAATTCTCACCCTGTTTTTGAGAAAGGGTGAGAAATTCTCACCCATTTTTTTTCTATGATGAAAACACTGAGGTTATAATAAAAATTTTAAAAAATCCAGTCAATTTATTATACCAGTTGCAAATCATTAAAAATTACACATGATCGATCATATAACTACTCACAAGGTCATTAAAAATTAAACATGAAGACTTAAGGTTGCCTAACTTAAGTTGAATTTCATACGATACTAAAAAGAAATAATGGATTCTTAAACAGTTAAGTCTTCCCAGCAACATTTTTATTTTGGCCCCAGTTAAGCTCAAAATTGGTACAATATGGGTCCGATATGAACATGCACAGAGGAAACAATATCGCCATGTCTAGATTTTTTAATATTGGTCCTATATAGGGTCAATATCGGCCTATATAAAGCCAATTTAAGGCTTTGGCTGAATAATGAATATAAAATATTGGGTTAATTTGACAATTCTGCATCGGGGTCCAATGACGCTCCAAATTATTTTGCTGCGATCAAGTAACAGAGGGAAAACTTTTTTACTTTTTGTTCTTTCAATTCAGATTATTAGAAACAAGTTTAAGAGGTATTTAAAAAAGAAATCTCAACAATTACACCCCTTTCCTTTGTTTTTTCTCTTTTAAAAATGAAATTTAGAGAAAAGATAATTTGCAGATGCTGTAATAATCAAGTAGTGTGAAGAGTTTCTGCTACTAGGAGTAGAATTCCTTAAAATCTGACTCAGATCATCTTAAAATAATTATCAGAGGTTGAATCTCAGCCAATCACGTGCACTGTTTAGATTTTTCATTTGGTGTCATGATCCATCTTTTTAACAAGAAAAAAAAACATACTTTGTCATCATTTAAAATATTTCCAGTACTTTTTTCTCTAATTTCATTATAATATATAGTATTTTTAATACTAATCATAATGACATACCTACGTTAAAGGTTTAACATATAAACCATTTATTAAGAAATGATGATAAAATTTGGATTTTTATTAAGATTTATTTAAAATTGTTTACAAAAATTAAAACAATGTAATTATTAAGTTTATTTAAATTTCTACGAAATACGTATAGATTCATACAATATTTTTAACTTGTACAATTGTTTCTGAAAATTGAAATATTGTATTTACTATGGTTACCACTGAAAATGTGTAAAAACTAGGGAAATCTTGTAGTTGATCCAACATAAAAACGAGAATGTACATTTAAACGGGTAGCTCAAACCAAGAATGTTTTATCACACATTACCCACACTATGAATAAAGTCTTTCTCTGTATGAACAAGAGAATGTCTATCTAAATTAGATTTCTGTGTGAAAAATTTACCACACACACTGCAAGAAAAAGGTTTCTCCCCAATATGAACACGATGGTGTTTATCTAAATTAGCTTTCTGTGTGAAAGATTTATCACACACGTTACATGAATAAGGCTTTTCTCCAGTGTGAACCACATAATGTTTATTTAAGCTACGTTTATGTGCAAAAGATTTACCACACACGCTGCATGAATGAGGCCTTTCACCACTATGAACAGGATAATGAAGATTTAAATTAGTTTTCTGCGAGAATGTTTTATCACAGAAATTGCATGAATAAGGCTTTTCACCAGTATGAACAACATAATGTTTATTTAAACCACGTTTGTGTGTGAAAGATTTATTACACACACTGCATGAATAGATTTTTTCACCAATATGAACAAGAGAGTGCCTATTTAAATCTGATTTCCTTGAGAAAGATCTAACACACACACTACATGAATATGGTTTCTCTCCAGTATGAATGAGGGAGTGTTCATTTAAATAAGATTTCATAGTAAAAGCTTTATTACACACTTTACATGAATAAGGCCTCTCTCCAGTATGAATACGAGAATGTGCATGCAGACTGTCCGTTCGTAAGAATTTTTTATCACACACAGCACATGAGTAAGGCTTCTCTGCCTTATGGACAAGTGAATGTTTAGTTAAGTAATATTTCTGGGAGAATCTTTTATCACACACATTGCATGAATAAGGCTTTTCATCAGAATGAACAGAATAATGTTGGTTTAAATTAGATTTCCAATTGAAAGACCTATTACACACACTGCATACATATGGTCTCTCTCCAGAAGGAACAAGAGATTGTTCATTTAAATTACACTCTTGTTCATTTAAATTACACTCTGGTTCATTCAAATTACACTCATCTGTATTATAGACTTCACACATTTTACACTAATAAGGTTACTTATGAATATGCACCAATGAGGAACATAAGAGCTTTTGTTTAAACAACTTTTCTGCTCACATGAAGATGACTATTTTATTATTACATCTTCGAGAACCACGTTTTGTAGAATTAAATACTTATCATCTCCGCTTAAGGTTTTCTCAATTGAAAATAATGCTTAATTTCAATTAAACAAGAATTGCGATTGTTTTTGTCCAAGATACGTGAAAATAGACTATTTATTTATATTTATTTATAACATTGAATAGAGAAAGCACCACATTTTAAATTATGAAAGTTTCAAAGTCTAGATAAAAAATTTCCCTGTATTTGGAACATATCCTTATTCAACAATCTTTGGGAAAAAGTGTGCGCAAGTTAGGAAATACGAAACAAAAACAGATAGAAAAAATCAAATAGGAGTATTATTGATTTATTTTATAAAATATCTAACAAGACAATAGTCACGATTCATAACAAACTTTGGTGTTGATTGTAAATTGTAGAAATGAGCGACGAGCTTTTTGCTTTAGCTTATAGCTCTATGTTTCTATTAACGAAGCTTATGCTTGAGGCTGGGAAAAAAAAGCAAAAAAAAAAAAAGCAGAAAGTTGCAGTGAAAAGTCAGAAGCGGTTTGTGGCTTGGTAAAATTTGGATTGGAGTTTGGTTCGAGGATTGAAAAATAAGTGCAAGATATCAGTAAATTTGGATTTTGAAGAGACTAGGATCGGAAGGGATCATTTACGAGCATTTTGGACTACACCTCCGTTTGTGTCTACACCTCTACACCTCCGCAACTTTGGTTTTTCTATCAATTTGCACTGGAAAAGATTTAGTTCTGAGCCTGGCTATTAGTACATCAACAAGTTTTCAGGAGCTGATTGGCGAACGATTCATCGAGACGTTCTTGTGATCAATCACAATCTTGAGATCTTTGAGAATTATTTGCTACCATTCCATACAGAGTTCTTTATTGAGAGTTTCCTTAAAGAACTTTCAATATTACTTTATATAAATTGTTAAATTATAATTTCATTGCAATTAGTGTTTTCTTTACATCAGAAAAGAAGTCAAAATTATTAAATCATTTTAAAACTAATTCAAAATTTAATCTAAGTGTGACGAATCACGCATTTACAGACATACGAGTACTTGACTTTAAAAAAATAATAATTCCCCTGCTAGTATTCTCTTAACTAGATTACGCGGCTCAAAAAAGAAATTTTCAACTTGAACGCAAATAAATCTAAAATAACATGAACAACATTTTGATATCCTAAAACATTTCTCTAAATATGTGCAAAATTTCATATTGTTTCATCTCCCAGTTTTTGAGTTATGAAAGTGAGAAGCACGGTCAACGCAAGGTTTCTGATATGGAAAAGAAATAGAAAATTATTTAAAGCAACCCGGATTGCCCTAAGTATAAGGAAGAAGGGTTGAAAGGGCGACTAGTGAAGTAACTACAAAAACATATGAAACTAATAGAAATGCAGAAAAAATTAGTTTGCCATATATTTATGTAGTTTTAAGTGTTTAAGTACCAGTATTAAAGGATCTAACCCTTTAAAGATTAAAAGTATAACGACTAGTTCACTGATGCAGAAATCCCCTCCACTGTTCCTAAAAATGATCAATTGATGTCAAGATCAAGTGAAAGTCATCTCAAAGTTTAATAAGTTTTCATTAAAAAGTTGAATAGGTTAATTTTGTTCATTGATTTAATTTCTGCCACATTTAAGATTTTTTAGAAACAGTTAAACAAATGAAAGTAATAAAGAGATTAATTTCAGTGCCATGATTCACTATTGGCACTAGTATTACCATACATAAAAACGGTGATGTTTTTTTGTTTTTTTCTTCATTTTTTTTTGTAAAATGCTAAATAATTTTCAGTTTTGGTACATTAAACTGTAAGATTTTTTTTTTATTAGAAATAAAAATAATAAACATGTTCCTAACTGTTTTACATAAAGAAATCTCTGAGAAATTCATAAAAAAAAAGAAATTAAAAAAAATGACTCAATGAAACATTTAAATTATAATCTAAAAATCGTTCTTAGAATTTCCTGAAAAATTATGTAAATAGTGTTCAATTCAAACTATACAGTGCTTAATAGAGACCACCTTTTATACATATTTTTAGAATTGTAAGAAAATGAAGTAGAGAGCAAACACATTAAGTATCCAAAATAACTATTTGAAAGAGGTAAAAATAAGAATGTTTATAAAAAAGGAAGTTACATCATAAAAAAGGAAGTCATAACAACCAGCTTTTTTTTTTTTTTTTGGTGAAAGAAACCGAAATTTTTTTTTTTAAAACACCTAAAAATTTTCTCAGGATATCTCGTTGGTTTTAGAATTTCCCTTGTCTTCTTAACTAGTGATTCCATAGATATCGATAAAAGTATTTTTATTTTCCCAACTAAGTGCAATGTCTTACAACTAATCAAAAGATTTTTTGGTGTTATTTTAACAAGGCTTCTAAAAAGGTGAAGCAATGAAAGTAGGCTTAACAGAATTCCTTGCATATTCCTAATTATCTTTAATAAGTTTCGAATAATTTTAAATATTGTTTACAAGGGCCGGGATAGCCTGGTTGGTAGGGCACTGGACCCATGTCTAAGAGATCGTGGGTTCGATCCCCGCCAACCGAAGACTCTCCATGTAGTAAATGGTGACTGATGCACGTTAAATCTGGCGAGTCGCAAAGTCTTCCATGTTCCCATAACAAATCAATACCTCTAGGGGTACTGATCCAGGAGTTTCCTCGTCTTCTGGATTGGTTCAAAATTACAAAGCTACGGAGTTGAACATTAGTAGTCGTACTCCCAAAATTGGTTCGGCTGTTCAACGACGGATGTAAAATATTGTTCACAGGACCGTGATGGCTCAGGGGATGGAGCATTCACCTTCTAACGAGGTGAACCGGTTTCGAATCCCAGCGATGACTGGTCGATGCAAATTCCGCACCCGGCTCGCACCGACCACAGTGCTGACGTAAAATACCCTTAGTGGTAGACGGATCATGGGTTAAAGTCTCCCTGCCGTCAAGCTAACCGTGGGAGGTTTTCCTCTCTATGTAATGCAAATGTGAGTTTGCTCCATCTTAAAGTCCTTTACGTAGGCAAATTTCTCCCAATACTTGATCCAGGAGTTTCCTTGTCTTCCGGATCGTGTTTCAAAATTACAAGGCTACGGGATTGAACATTGGTGGTCGTAAAATCAAAATTGGGTCTGCTGATGAAAGACGGTTATAAAATATTGTTGACAAGAGCTATGGGGATAGAGCACTCGTTTCCCAATGAGGTGAGAGTGGTTCGGATTCCAGCGATGGTTGGTTGATATGAATTTCACATCCGGCTCGCATCGACCACAGTGCAGACGTAAATTATCCTCAGTGATAGAAGTATCGCGGGTTAGAATCCCCTTGCCATCGGGCTAACTATAGGAAGTTTTCTAATTTTCCTGTCTACGTAACGCAAATCAGGATAGTTCCATCAAAAAGTGTTTTACAAAGGCTAATTTGCCCCAATGGTTAAACTAGGAGTTCCATTGTCTTCTAAGTTGGGTTCAAAAATACAAAGCTAAGAAGTTGAGCATAGATAATCGTAAACGCAGAGTTGGGCTGGTTGTACAATGTCGGTTAGAAAATAAAATATTGCTTACGGAAACTTCAAATGTGAGGAAACTATAAAATTATTTTTACAGACACAAATCATGAATTTTAATACAAAGTAAATACTACTGAAGCATTGCTATTAAATGCAAAACAGATCTATGTTTCGTATCCAAATTTTAATAACGATAACGTATTTGATTAACAGAATATTTATTGATGTTACTGTATATTTTTTAAAGTTACAGTTACAAAAGATTCAATTATTATATGGAAGTTACGGTTATTATTGAGGCTATAGTTCTTGAAGATATGATTACTCTTGAAGTTACAGTTTTTAAAGGTTCGGTTATTTCCGAAGTTGCAGTTCTAGAAGGTACAATCATTATTGAAGTTACATTTCTAGAAGGTACGGTGGGTATTGAAATTAAAGTTCTTGAAGATGCTGCTGTTATTGAAGTTACTGCTTTTGAAGATACGGTCATTGTTGAAGTTCGAGTTCTTAAAGTACGATTACTATTAAGATTACAGTTGTTGAAAAGTAAACCACATTTCTAGAAGGTACTGTTGGCATTAAAGTTCTTGAAGATGCTGAAGTTACTTTTTTTGAAGGTACAGCTATTATTGAAGTTACAGTTAAGGTTACTGTTACTATTGAGATTACAGTTGTTGAAGTAAACCACGTTTCCAGAAGGTACGGTTGGTATTGAAGTTAAAGTTCTTGAAGATGCTGCTGTTATTGAAGTTATTGTGTTTGGAAGTACGGTTATTAATGAAGTTACAGTTCTAAAAGGTACGGTTACTATTGAGATTACAGTTGTTGAAAAGTAAACCACATTTCCAGAAGGTACGGTTGGTATTGAAGTTAAAGTTCTTGAAGATAGTGATGTTATTGAAGTTACTGTTTTTGAAGGTACGGTTGCTATTGAGATTACTGTTATTGATGTAAACACCAAAATAAATATCGTATGACTATTTATTATAAAATGTCAGCATAAAAGCCAACGAGCCAAAAATTTCAATTTCTTATTAAAATGCTTTCCTTTTATAGCAGCAAGAGAAAAAGCCAGTAAATGGGCAGCGAAAATAGGTAGAAAGTTTTCTTTTTTCTTGCTATTTGATAATATACGCTCCCTTTTTTTTTTTCTTAAAGTCCNACTCCTCTTTTTTTTTTTTTTTTTTTTTACAACATCAAAAGAGGAAGAAAATGGGTTGCAAAACATAAGCTGACATTTTGAAATTAAGTCGCTTTTCCATTAAAGCAGCAGCAGAAAACCCAACAAATGGACCGCAAAACTGAGCTGAGAGTTTTCTTTTCACCATTCGAGCTCTCTTTTTCCCCATTTTCACTCCTGAAAAGTAATAAATATCTTATAAATTTAAATTTTCTTGCCGTGTATTTGGATAAACAATACAATCATATCGTAATCTCGTAATCATATCGTATATATATATATACATATATATATAATATGTATGANATATATATATATATCGGTTGGGTGAAAATTACGAAATTTCATGGTCGAAGAAGGTGCCATTCATTGCAATCGTCTGATTGATCTAATATTGCACAAATTGTTTTTTCGTTGATTGTACCATATCCACAAGATTAAAAATAACATTGTATCTCCATCGTATCTAATAGTACAATCTTTCTTAGTTTTGCTTAGGCTCTCTGCATTAAGCATAAAAAGAGACAAATTTTCATTGATTTCAATTTTTTTACTTTAAAAATTGGTTTCATTATGTTTTTGAAATTTCAACCTGAAAATATGTTAATTAGATTTTCGATCATTTTTATTTATTTGTGCACGCCTATTTTCGTGTTTGGAAGAATAGAACAGAATGTTTGAAGTGAATTATTTTTAACTGAATTTAACAAATTATTTTATACAAAACTATAAAAGAAGGTTTATCTCTTT